CCTGTAGTTGGATCCTGTCCTCCGATGAGCGCACACAGCAGATCTTTGCCTCTGCAGGGAGGGGAGTCTGTACTTGGTACAGAAGGGCAGAGGGAGAGCATCCGGTTTCTCAGTGTTTCTGCCACCAGGTCATTACCTGCCTCCCATCCATCTCTGAATCACCATTTATTAAGCACCTGCTGTATATCAGGTATTGTCCCAATACTTTCTTTTGCAGGAGTTTTAGGATTGCAGAAATATTGAGCAGCAAGCGCTGATTTCCCACACATAATCTTCCTTTTATTAACATTTTGCATTAGTACTTTTATTTATTACAATGGATGAACCAATATTGATCCACTATCATTAGCCAAGGTCCACAGCCTATATTAGGGTTCACTTTTTATGTTGTGCAGTTCTATAAGATTTGACAAATGCATAAGGCCATAGGTTCGCCTTTACAGTAATATGTAAAAGAGCTTCACTGCCCTGAAGGTCCCCTGTACTTAATCTATTCCACCCAACCTCCTTGTCCAAGTCGTGGACAACACTGATTATTTTTTTTCACTGGTTTGGCCTTTTTCAGAATGTCACACAGTAAGAATCACAAGATACCTAGCTGTTTCCAGATTGACTTCCTTCCCTTAACCACATGAACTTAAGTCTCCTCTGAGTCTTTCATGGCATGAGAACTCATTTCTATTCATCACTGAATAATATTCCACTGTATAGATCTACCATAATCTGGCTATCCATTCATCTATGGAAGGACGTCTGCGATGCTTCCAAGTGTTTGCAATTATGAGGAAAGCTGCCGCAACACCCATGTGCAGGTTTTGATGTGCACTTAAGTTTTCAATCCATTTGAGTAAATGCCAAAAAAAGTACGATTGCTGGATAGCCTGGTGAAACTATGTTTACTATTATATGAAACTGCCACACTGGCTTCCAGAATGGCTGTGCTCTTTTGAATTCCCACTAGCAATGAGTGAGAATTCCCACTGCTCCAAGTGATCACCGTGTTTGGGAATTTTGACCTTTTTAGTGCGTTATAGCAACAGCTCACTTATCATGTTAATTTGCAATCCCCTAAGGACACCAAATGTTGAACGTCTTTTCATATGCTTGTCACTTGTGTATCTTCCTTGATGACATGTCTATCCAGATCTTTTTACTAGGGTTATCTGTTTTCTTATTGTTGAATTTTAAGTGTTCTTTGTATGTGGTGGATACATGTCCTTTAACAGCTATGGGTTTGGCAATATTTTCTCCCACTCTGTTGCTTGTCTTCTCTTTCTCCTAAGGTCCTGACACTTTTCATGCCTTCATCTTCTCATTGAATCCTTCCAGCATTCTGAGAGCTGCATAGTGTTGGCTCCATTGTACTAAGAAGTCAAGGCTAAGGGGGAACCAACAACCTGCCATGCAGTGGAGCTAAGATCTGACCCACAGCTTCCTACTCCTGTCGCACATTAAAAGTGGGTCCTGCTTATCAGAAGCCAGCCCAAGTGGGAATGAGTTTTGGTTATTTCATACTAAAATACCCTCCCACGATCCTGGAGAGAGACTCTGTACTTGGATGTCCTACAGAGCTCAGCCCTGTTGTTTCAATATTAGTGCATTAAAGTCCTGCCGAGAGACCTCTGTCTCTAACCCCAGCTGCCTCCTCGGCTCACCCTGCCCCCCACACTCCTGTACCCAGGACAGGGCCTCAGCAGCTCACCCAGGATCTCTGCCTTTGGTCTTGCCGTTCCCTCTAATGGAAACACTCTTTCCCATTGTCCACTGGTCAGCCCTCATTCACTCTCTTAATCCGTCATTCATGTCACTACACAAAACTCTGTGTTCCCCACTTTCTAGACCTTCAAGTTCCACTTCTGTGTCTAGGCCTCCCCCACTAAGTTGACAAACTCCTTAATCATGAGGCTCATATTTGGAAACATTTTCTTAGTCCCTTCAACTAGCATGGTATATAGTAGGTACTCAATAAATGTGCCCTTGATAAATGAATAAGAGGGAATATTGGCAAGTACCATCAACTGGTGGTTGGAGGCACTTTCATTTTTAAGGCTATTTAGCTAGAAGAAGTAAGCTTCGTTTTTTCTGCTTTCTTTTTAATGATTTTTGCTTTCTGTGTTTTTTTTAAACTTTATATATATGTATGTGTGTGTGTGTGTGTGTGTGTGTGTGTATATATATATATATATATATATATATATATATATATTAATTGCTTTCAATTTTTAAAATCAGAATCTCTGTTTCTAGTGCTATGTACCCCAGGGGCAGGTGTATCTTGATAAATAAAAGGGATTTTTGAATAAATAAGTTATTAATGAGACCATTGAGTCAAAGCATAAGATGGATTTTCATTTTTTAAAGGTTGATAGTTTCTGTAACAAGACTTGACATCTGAGGTTCAGAGTCAGGCACCAGGCCTTCTTTGAGTCCCAGCCTGCTGGATTGGCTATACCCTCCCCTAAAAGTCCCTCTCCTGGAGCTAGATTAATGAAGGAGCTGGGGACCAACTGCACAGACTCTAGCAGTACCTACAAGAGTCCTGAGGTGCCAGGGCAGCACCTGGCAGGTGGAATGAGGGTCAGACAGGCCTGGGAGGGAGCCTGTGGTAGTTGGGGGGTCAGCTTAGCCTCTCTGAGCTTTAGTTTCTATATCTCTGCAAAAGGAAGACTCATAATACTGCACCATTCCACTATTGCAATGAGTTATAGGCATGGCCTAAGGAATAAAATCATTGAGGTAATGTTATGGTCTCTGGTGCCCACCGTCACCTGGATGAAGTTCAAACTCCTCCCCCCCACACCCATTCCCCCACTGGTCCACTTAGAAGCTACTCCTTCTAGTTGCTTCCACTGAAACCCTTCCCCATGGTGAGTAAGAAAAGCGGCATTGGGTAGAACCACCTAGCATAGCGCCACGTGGCGAATCCTCGATGACTAATTCTGAATAAATGGATTAATGGATGTGGGATGGTGTCACATACCCATCACAGTTGTCCATAATTGGGCCCATTCCTCACCTTCCCCCACTCGACTCTGCATTGCAGGGAACTGACCTCCAGGCTCCATTCCCCAGGCTCTCTTGTCAGCTGGGTTCGGCCAATGACTTGCCCTAAGTGGGGTATCGGGGAGGAGAAAGAGAGGCAGGAACTCCTCACTGTCCCAATCACAGTCCCCTTCTTTAGCAACAAGAGAAGCTCCTCCTTGTCTCCAGCTCCCACCAGGGAGGCCCCTGGTGGTCCTGTCCCAGCAGCCAGCCCAGCTCCTGAGCTCTGGGAGTCCCTCCCCCTCCTTCTGTCCCTCCAGCCCTGGGGGACACAGTGTCTCCTGGTTGCTTATCTCCAAGTGCGTGCACTCTCTCTTTCTCTCCCCTACCTGGCTTCTCAAACACTTTTCTATCACCCAGGCAATCACTTCTCTGCAGTTAATTCTCTCTGCTCTGCACCCCAGAGATGGTTTCCCATGCCATGCTTAGTCTGGGAAGCAGAAGTTAAACCCAGAGTCAAGAGGACCCCACTCTTCCATGTGCCATTGGCCACAGAGCCAATCTACAGGAGCCTGTTCCTCATTTGTAAAAGGGCTAACAGAACCATCCTGCCACTTTACAGGGACATTGTGAGGATTAAATGAGGCCATCTGTTGGCACCCTCCCAGGTATTTGTTGAGTGCCTGCCATCTGCYAGGCCCTTTCGGAATACAGGGCACAGAGAGCAAGGAACAAGACAGAGTATGTCTGTGCCCTCAAGGAGGTTCCAGTTCATTGCAATAAATGTATTTATAAATTGCAGAGTGTAGGAGTCGGACAGGATATCGGACTTGACTTCCCTCACCCCGGGGAACCCTCAAGGATGCTCAGAGCTCTCTAGCCCACTTGCATTGAACCCCACTCCTGCCCTGGAGTAAGGAGGACTGGCCAAYGGCCAGTGGGTGCACTGTGATACGTGCCCAAGGACCTGGGTAGCAAACTTAAGTTCCTCCTTCCCAGACCCAACCAGGCTGTTCCACTTGCCTGTGTCTATTAGAATGTCAGAGCTCACCTTCATTACTTGTAATGGATTTGTCTTGATTCTTCTCATGTACCACTTTTTAATTTTTTGGTGTTATTTGAAATAAGCATGCAGATCTTGTTTATGCCTAGATTGTGTTTGAGAAAGTATCGTCAATAACACGATTTTAGTTACTGACGACCTCTTTTGTAATGATTCAGTCAGCCTCACTCTAATGAGAGTATTGATACCAATAAGAGGCCAACAATCTATTTGCAACAGTACTCCAAGAGACAAAGGAAAAGCAATTTGTGCACATGTGGAAAATAGGTGAACTTGCCACTTTTAAGCAAGCCTGGAAATGTAGCACATTAATTCACATGCAACTCCCACGTCCTGAGTGTATCTGTATGGTCTCTCTTGCGTAGTCCTAGGAAGCAAGTTTTTCCATCTCCATGTTAATGATGATATTAAGACTTAAGAAGCAGGTGACTCATACAGTTGGGTAACAACAAAACCAGAATCTAAAGGGAATCTAAAGAAAAGGTGGGATCCAAAAGGGAGGAAGTGCTTCTAGTTTCTTTTTAAAGCTAGAAACCACCAGGTGCGGTGGCACACACCTGTGATCCCCAGTGGCTCAGGAGGCTGAGGCAGGAGTATCTCAAGTTCAAACCCAGCCTCAGCAAAAAGTGAGGCACTAAGCAACTCAGTAAGTCCCTGTCTCTAAATAAAATACAAAATAGGGCTGGGGATGTGGCTCAATGGTCAAGTGCTCCTGAGTTCAATCCCTGGTACCAAAAACAAAACAAAACAAAAATATCAAAAACTTACCTCCTAGAGCCTCAACTTCCTCACCTGTAAATGGGATAATAACTGAGCAGTGCGGAGGTTAAGTGAGCGAGTGTCACCATAGCTGGTGTGTAGTAACTAATAAGTGGTAGCTCTAAAGGAGAGAATCACTGGCTTCTCGCCTTAAGGCCCCTTACMCACCACCCCTTGTTTTCTCTTCTCTCTGCAGATGACCATTCCAGAGTGAGATTGCTGGTGCTGGATGGAGACCCGCACTCTGACTATATCAATGCCAATTATATTGACGTGAGTGTCTTGGTGGGGCTGGGTAGCTGGGGCCTGAGGTTGGCTGTAGAGGCTCAAGGTCTGTGGCTATCCTCGACCGTTTCCACAGAAGGTGGCCTTCCAGAACGTGCCAAGCGGTCTGCTTCTCCATCATTTGCATGACCCAAGTGGATTATCCACCTAAAGCTTCATCCTCTTCCRGGCGGCCAGGACAGCCGCTAGTCTTATTCATTCCATCTGTGTATTAATTTATATGTGTCTGTTCATCTGTCCATCCATTCATTCATTTGAAGGTGAAGGTGCAGCCGTGAACTCAACAAAAAGATTTAAGGTGACCACCGTATGCTCGATGCTACAGAAATCATAAAACTACAAATGCCATGGTCTCCACCCTCGAAAACCTCAGGAGGGAGATAAGCCATGCACATCAATCATGCCAGGGCAGCCTAGAAAGTGACAAGTGTCACATTCCAGATAAAATGCTGCAGGGATTCAGAGGTAGGGGAAAAATATCACTTTTTTTCCCATCAGGAATGCAAAATGTGATGTGAACCAAAGCTTCCAGCACAAGTAGAATTTAAAATCAAAGAGAGGGAAGATGGCCTCTGGTTAGAGGAGGACAGTAGCTGAGATGAGGCAGCTGTGAACAGGCAGCCGCTCTGTTCCAGGGGAGCAGAGCGAAGTAAGGTTGGACTGGATTATCGATGGCTTAGATGGCCAGACCAAGGTCAGGCTTTATCCTAAGATTTTGCTCAAGGAGATGGCCGATTCCGAATTGAGCTTTGGGGTGATTTATCTGCTGCCAATGATAAGACAGATCAAATGATTTTGGAATTAAGACAACTGATTAGGAAGTAGGCTGCTTCAGTATTTCAGAGACTACTGAGGAAGGGACTCAACTCAAAAAGAAGCCAAGAAGTTTCTACCACCATGGCCTTTTTGTTCACGGAAGTGAGAGAGTTTGCAAGAGGATAAAGTGGCCACTATGGCCAGGTGAACATCCCAGCAAGACAGATCAAGCCAGACTTCTGAGGACCTCAGTGCACAGCCCAGGAGTCTTGAAGAATGGCTCAGAGATGCCCATTGGTTCCTTAGACTTCCAAATGTACCTGTAGACAAACTGTAAAGTACAGTGGCATGCTCTGCAAATTCCCTCACCATCGGGGCTGAGCCTTGTTTCATTAATTCAACAAATGTTTATGGAGCCTTGTGTTGGCCATTTGTTTGCCCTCAGATGCAGTCCTTAATCTTTTCTGCTCTGCTTTGCATCGCAGGTGTGTGTGTGTGTGTGTGTGTGTGTGTGTGTGTGTGTGTGTAGTGCAAAGAAGAAGGGGAGCTGATTCCTTCAATGAGAGGCACTGATGGGAGATCAGGGGATGATAGGAAGAGAAACCAGCATATTCTCTGCCTGTCTCCCTCCTCTGGGTGGCAGGTCCTCAGCCAGAACCACCATGGCTCCACCTTCTGCCAGCAGCCCCAGCTCCTAGGCTGTGGAAACTTCTCTGTCTCCCCTTGTCCCACTAGCTCTAAGGGTCACTGTTCCCCTTGGCTTCCCTGTCACCTGGTCAACAACTCCCCCATGCTGGATCCCTCTGTCTGAAACACCTGGAGGGGTTCCTTTCTATTTCCCAGACTGCGTCCTGACTAACAAGGGGCACCGTGTGGTCAGGAGTTGGGGCTGGAGCTTCAGTGCAGATGAAGATAGACAGTCTACCACCAGGGCCTTTCTGGAAAGTTCACAAGGAGGTGGCCCCTTCTGAGTGCACAAGGCACTCCCAGCCCTTACCCACCATGCCACCATCCTTGCTCCTGTGCCCCTGTTATTCACTTCACAAGCACAGAGCAGACCTTCTACTGCGTACTAGAAATACCAACCTTCTGGACCAGGTGTCGACCCAAAAGCAACTCAGTCTGGTAAAGGGGGTCCGATAAGAAAAAGAAGCCTTCACAGAGCAGGGAATATAGAAGCAAAGCTTCAAGGTGGGGGGGGGGTGCCTTAGAGGCTGATAAAAGAACCAGCCAGACAAACAAGGCCTTTAGCAAACTAGGGATCACTGATCCCCTCTCATGTGCCAACACCACCTTAAGTAGTACCTTAACTGGGCAGGTGGTCATCATCACCCTCTCCAGGTGAGGATGCTGAGGCTCATAAGGTTAAGTAACATATCCATGATCACGCTGTGAGCTGTGACGGAGGGAGTGAGGGTTTAATTAGGAATGGCTCCCCACCATACCCTGCTGCCTTAGTAGCATCAGTAAGCAGAGATGACAGCAATCGTCGCAGTTTAAATGAGTCAGTTTACCAACACTTCCTAACAGCCCTTCAGGGGAGTTTTGTCACCTCCAATTCCCCATGGGGGGCTGAGGTTTAGAGATATTGCAAAGCCTTTCCAAGGCTGTGCACTGGCTCGTGGCTGAACCAGTATCCAAATGACTTCCCAACCAATGCCCTTTCTTCTGCCCCTTCATCTACCTCCTGCCACTTCCCAGAAGTCAACATTTAGTGGGGACCTGATCAGTACATGTTGAACTGGTTTCTTCTTTTTCTCCTTGACCTTGCCTGTGGCTGAGTAGATGTGAGGGTGGGCAGATGTGAGGGTTCTGAGGGTCACAGCCCAGGCAGGATCCTGCATGCCTCCAGTTGCTGTATCTATCTGGCATATGGCAGGAAAAGTCACTCTCATGGATAATGTTCAATCCACAGCTGTGTGAGCATCCAACTACAGTGAGAACTGAGGAAAGCTGATGTTGTAGTATATCAAATGAAATTGCTTTAATGCAAGTGAATCCCTACAACTAATAACCAATAATGCCACCTGTTTCTACCATGTTCTGTCATTACAAAACATTTTTGTGGGCCTTTTAAGATAGGAGACCAGGAGTTGAGATAAAGAGTATTCCCCAAGGTCACACAGCTAGACTTTAGTTCTCCACCCCACTAGAACACACCACAGTCCCTGTGTGTTGTGTTGTGTTGTGTGTGTGTGTGTGTGTGTGTGTGTGTGAAAGAAGTAGGTTGTGCCGACAGAACAAATAGCCTATGCCACATGCTGTCCTAACATGCAATGTTGAACCCTGGGCTGGATCTCAGTGGTTAGAGTCAAGGGCTAAGAAGACTAATGTCATAAACTAAGTCCTTGTTGGGTCAGCTGAATCCAAGCCTTGGGTTGGTGATTACTAACTTTGTGATCATGGGTACGTTACTTACTCATTCTGGTATTTGTAAAATGGAATTATAACACTGACCCATGAATACACAATAAATGATGCAAAGTATCTGTCTGAGTTCCAAAAGGAAACAGGCTTACTCAAAGAAGTAACTCTCCTTGAGAGAATAGGATTGAGAAAAACCAGCAGGTGTGGCGTAGGGTCTCATGTCTAGCAATGGTGGAGAGCTCTTAGTGGTTAGTAGCCCTCAGTAGTGAGGCAAGGCCAACCCATCAAGACTTGGCAGAGAGGGACCTAGGATACCTGCGATCCCCGGTACAGTCCATGCAATTTGCCTCCACAGCACAGAACAGAGCATCAAAGGAGAGAGAGAGAGAGAGAGAGAGAGAGAGAGAGAGAGAGAGAGAGAGAGAGACCGACCAGAGAAAACACCAACCACAACTGTCTCCTTGCACAGTGTCACCACTATGGGGTTGACAGTGGAGGAGGAAACACCGCAGCTATGAACCTGCTGTATACTCCAGCAAAGTTAAATTCTTGGGGTCTCCCTGAGATTCCTGACAAGACACACACAGCTACCTAGTCTTTACTCCTTTCCCCTGGGCTCCACCCCAACCAGAATCCTTCCTGGCTCCTCAGAGAGCTAACTGCTCAGCATAGAATCATTCCTCCCCAACTGGACCTTGACAATCCATTAAAATGACTCCCTTTGTATAATGAGCAGAACGTTCCCAGCCCCGTCTGGGCCTCTGGTCTGCTACCGTCTGAACTGTCCTGCTGGTGGATTTGTTTGCACACCCAAAAAATGTATTGGCCACTTGAATCTGTTATAAATTACCAGCCTGGAAATAAATATCATATCTGGGTCCCCAGTAAGTAACAGATGCATGAGTGCAGAGTGAGATGAATGCATTTTGGATGCAAACCTCTTTCCCATTGCTCACAGACAGATGGAGGCAGACCCAGAGCTGGTTTGCAGTCGATTTGCGTGCTGTGTAGGTGGGACTCAAATGAACTCAAAGTTCTTTTAAGGTTAGGAAGTTTTCAGTACGAGCTCTTGGCAAATCCCCAGAGGAGCCCCAATTGAGCAGCACATCTCCTTTTATCTCCTTGGCTGAGGAGTCTCGTGGTTTGAATGTTTTCTCTTTGGGGACCGCGTGGGTTTCAGAGGCCAGGGAGGGTCTCTTTACTCAGAGGCAGTTTGGGGACAGGCACATAGCAGGCATGCATTCAATATATTTCTATCAAGACTGATGGTCCAGGCAGACTTCTCTGGGTTGGGGACACGGCCATGAGCAAGCCAGATACCGCCCTGCCATGGTGGAGCTCCTGTTCACCTGGGGGGAGGCGGACAGACAGCAAGCATGGAAGTGAATATAGAAGCATCTGCCGTTGGGTGATGAGTATCCCCAGTGAAGTCAGCCAGGGCAGGGAAGAGGTAGCCCGYGTGTTGAGAGAAGGGCTTTCTGGAGCATTGGCTGACAGGTGAGCAGAAGTTTGAAGGGACTGAGAGAGAAACCACTCCCTTACCTGGGGACAGACTGGCAGTCATGGGAAAGGGCCAATGCCAAGGCCTCTGGACAGGACCATGGCTGCTACTCCTGAAGACGAGTAACAAGCCAGTGAGCAAGGGGGACAGGGGTAGGAAGACTGAGCAGATTGCTGAAGGGACATAATGGGAATGATAGGGATATTTAGAGGCCCAAACTAAGCATGATTAAGAAACCAATTAAACCACCGCCTCCTCAGAGAATGCTCCTCTGGCCTCTATGCCTGAGTCAGCTCCCAGGGGGGCTCCACAGGCCCCCGCGTCTTCCCCTTGGTAGCTCTCATGCCAGTTTGTTGATGTCTGCAAGCTGCTCCCAAGCAGAACCCACGTCCATCTGATCYACTTTTGCATTTCCAGTGTCTTATACAGTATCGGCTCCATTAACACCTGTTTGATTAGTGAACCACCGAGCAAAGAAATAGAGCACAAAATAGTGAACCTGAGCCATCTCTATTGAAAGGTGAATTCATTTCTGGCTCAGAATTTCTTCTTACTGACTTTCAAGCACATTAGAATCTGTCAAATCACAGTTTGCTGCAGGGTCTTTGGTCTTCCAGCCCATGCATTAAGGGGGTGCCCCAACTTCACCTCAAAAACATATTTGCACGTGTATTCCACCAACCAGCCTGTGATGAGAACTGCACTCAGCTCTTGGTGGCATGTCCCATGGCCCAGGTGGAGGAAAAGTACAAAAATACTCATCGCAGCATGTGCCACCTTATTCATTGGGCATATCCAAAGCCTTGCTGGATCTCTCAGGTCTGCATCGCCCAGGAGATCATGTCTGAAAAGCAGGGCAGTGGGGATAGAACATGGGGTATGTGGATTGTGCGAGTGGATGGAGAAGGACACCTGGGCGTGAGGCTAGAGATGACAATGGAGACTATAATCAGGTCACGATGAGGCATTTGGGCATGACCACTCAAAGTTATGGGACTCCATTGCAGACTTATAAATAGGAAAATAACACTCCAATGTAAAATAAGGAGTTCACTGGGGCAGAAAACAGAAGGGTTTGGAGGCCAGGCTAGAGGCAGGGAGGCCAGCAGGAGGTTGATGTTGTGGCCCAACCCAGAGCTGCAGGGCGGGGATGGCAGAAGAGGGTAGAGTTGAGAAACCACGTCATCTCAGGTTCTAGGGGACTATTTTCTGTTCCCAAACCTACTCCAGAAAACCTCCAAGTCTGATTCTCCTGGTCAGCCTGCCCACCCTGTCCATCTTGACTTGGAGGAGCAGATAGGCCGTACCTCTTGTGTGTCAGAGAATTTATTGCACTAATCGAAGAGAGGACCCATCCTCTCCCAGCAGCCCCTAAGAGTCTGGTAGGCACTTACAGTCCTAGTAGTCTCTTAACAAATACTTGCCAAATAAATAATAATATAAACATAATAAGAGCAAAGACATTTATGTTAAATCTTAGAACAGTGCCTGGCATATAATAACTRTCATATGTTTACTCATCTAATCTGAACAATACTATGATTTAAATACTCTTGTCCCCATTTTACAGAAAAATAATAATAACTGAGACACAAAGAGGCTAAATGGCTTGCCCTAACTCTATAGCTTAGAAGGGACAGAGCCAGTATTCAAACTCAGGAAGGCAGGTTGGCTCATGGCACGCATAACCACCACGCTGCACTGTCTTTCTATTTGGTTTGTCCGAACTTGCTTATTGGGCAATTTCTCTGAGTCTCAGTGCACTAGCCTCTAAGGGAAATTTTTAAGCTGAGGAGGCAGAGTTTGTCAACTCAGTGTCCTCGCTATGTAAATGGGACCACTCAAGCAGAGTTTAGTTGGGGCTGTTTGATGGCTAAGTGGTTGATCCAACAGTGCTGGTCATGAATTGGCCTTGGGTTGGTGTCAACAATCTGCTGTGGAGAACGGCCAGCAATTGGAAGGTATTTATTCAATAGCTATTAGCCAAATGAAAAACTAAGGTAGAGAAACTAGTTGTTGCATCAGCAAGTAGACCCAGAACTTCAGGGATGCCACATCTATTGGACCAAAAGCCATGCAGATGGCAATTCCAGCTTATTCCTTGAAGTAGGCCTTGAGGCAGCTCATCCACTTGGAGAGGACAGGACCACTTTGATAGGACAGAACTGTTCAACATTCCGGAGGAAAAAAAAAGTTTCTTGAAACTTTAGGATTTATTTTCTCCAGGCATAGTTAACCATAAAGTCTGAGTGGTTAAGTAATTTCTAGATGGTCACAACCTCTCTGTAGGCTCCATAGTTGGCATCTGTGTTTTAAAATAGAATKTGTCCATCCATTCATTCATTCTCTGAATACTAATAGCATTCAGTGTTCTATACTAAATGCAAACCTGTCAGTCTCTAACACTTGTACTCAATACGATCTGCTACTTCTCTGTAACAAGGAAGGGGACCCTCCATCTGTGCCACACACAAGCAAAAGAGAGGGTTATTTTCAATCTCTTCTCTGATGACTGGAGTTATGGGCACCAGGGTCACCCCCACCAGAGTCCAGCAGGGCTTATGGGAGCCCTCTGAAATATACAGGGAATCCAGAAAGTGGTCTTTGCATTTGCAAGTAGCTGGCCTGCATATGGACACCTCCACACCACGGGTCCTCTCTGCACGCAGAACTTTAATTACAATCCCAAGTCTGTTGGCAGAGAGAAGCAATGTGGCATTCTTCCCAGTTTTCTTTTTTTAATTGTTACTAATGCAAGGAGTCAACAATAGAATTGTTTCTTCTGTTTTCTCCCCTGAGTGTCCCACAGGGCCTTGTATAGTGTTCTGCATATAATCAAGCTCAGGAAAGACTTTTTGGTGGTCATTGTTCCCCCATACACCTGAAAACCCCTTCTCTCCTCTTTTTGGGTGCGTGGGCATAAGTGATGCATGCATGGATTTTGCTCCCCATGCCCTGGCTCCAAGGCACGCCTGGATGGGCACCTCAAGAGTATTTATGATACTAGTAGCATTTGGTGACTTACTGAGTGTTTTAAATGCATTGTCTCATTTCACCTTTATCACTTCACTGGGAAATGGCTAATGCACTTCCCATTTTGCCTATGAGGAAATCAAGCCAGAAGAAGATATTTATTAATATTGTGCTTCTTGCAAACTTTGACTGGAGACTGTGCTTTTCTTCTGCTATCCAGGGGTACCACCGACCCCGGCACTACATTGCAACTCAGGGTAAGTGCCATACCTCTGCCTTGTGCTCCCAAGAGATCTCAAGGGCTCCAAGGAAGAGGGATGTCTGGGGAATCAATGCAAGCTTGTTGTCAAAACACTCCTTTTCGACTAAGAGACCTGACCCTGCCCTGGAGGAGAGGAATGAGCTTCCACTGGCAAGGAAGCCAGGGGTAGGGCTGAAGAGGCTCTAGAGGTCCCTAAGAAGGAAGGAGGCAACAGGTGCAGCCAGGAAGGGAGTGAGGAAGGAGCTGTCCCTAGGAAAGGGTCAGGAGGGAGGGCCCGAGGCAGGGAAGAGCAGAAGTCTCAGCCTCCAGCAGATGCCACCCAACAGAGCTGGAGCTGAGGGTGTCCTGCCTCCTCGGGGGTACACATCCATGACTGGTGCACATACAGCAGGTCACCCTAGAACACAAATTGTCAGTAAGTTAAGAATGATCGTGACTTTCAGATCCTTCTAGAAAGATTGCCTGCAGGTAATTCTACATACGGACAATGACATATAAGCACATTCTTCACAGGATTACCTACAATATGAAAAAAGTGAAAACTCTTAAATGCCCAATAATGGGTTAAATAAAGTGTATTTCTCGTAGAAAACTCTGCAGCTATGAAAACTATCATGCCTGGTAAGAATTTTTAAGGACATAAAAAAATGTTCATAATAGATACAATGTTTATTGCAGTAACTACATATATATTTGCATAACAGAATGTTATTCAAACTTTTATAGAAAATACATTACTTCTGTAATTTTAAAAATGACTGGGCATTGGAAGGGTAATTTCCAAGGAAATCGTTTTGGACTGTCTGATCCTATCTCCCAGCCTTTGTCTTTTTTCTTCCTTTCTTTTCTATCCCCTCTTTCCTCCTCGGACTCCAAGTGAGTGCCTCCAGCATCTGTCAAGCTTAAAATTGGGCCCCTCCACCCTCCCGACCCCAGTTCCCTTTCTGTCGCTCACCAGAGACTAGTTTTAGGAAAATTCCTGAACACAGTCCAAAATATAGTTCAGGGGACAGCAGGGTTGGTGGGGCTGAGCAGGAGGGTGACAGAAGGGACAGGGGTGCTGCAGACCAGGCAGGTTCCGGATGTGGCTTTTCTTACCCATGCTCTGCTCTGGCCCCACCAGGCTCACATGCCCCGGGCCCCAGTCTCAGCCACTTGGTGTACGAGTGAGGGTCCCCTGACCTCTCTCCTGCTCCCCTAAGGCAGCCAAGAGCAATGAACTCTGGGCTGCTTCCTTACCCTCGCAGACACTGACCCTGTCACTTTCTCTGTTGGCAGGTCCAATGCAGGAGACGGTAAAGGACTTTTGGAGAATGATCTGGCAAGAGAACTCCGCCAGCATCGTCATGGTCACAAACCTGGTGGAGGTGGGCAGGGTAAGCCTCTCCTGCAGTTACCTGGGCAGAGGATGCTGGGGGTGCGCTGGAGCATCTCCGTCCCTTGTGTTGTGCCAAGTGCCTCCTCGTCTACATTGCCCCCTCCCAACAACCTCCAGGGGAGACAGCATCTGGCAGTGTCCTTTCCCTCCAGGTGCCTACCCCCTGCTCCACCTCCACTCTCCATCGATAACATCATTTCATATATTTCAAGGAAATTGAAGTCATCAGACTTGACCTCCCTCATCGTCCAATCACAAATCCACCATCCTACTTGTATCTACCACCATCTTCTTGTTCTTCCTCCCGGCTGTCAGGTTCAACCATGAGAAATGGCTGTTTTTCTTTTCTTATCCCCAAATGGTCAAGCACGGGCTGTTTCCCATAGCTCTGCCCAACGGGACAGAAGCTGTGTCTCTGCCCTTTCAAAAGCAAGGCTCAAATCTCAGATTCTGCTCCACGATTTCCCCATTGTCCCCATCACTTGAAAAATGCCTCCTCCTCATTGCTGGATTACTCTGCTCAGTGGGCAGACATGCTCAGTAGCTTCCTCCTTCAAAAGACAAAATGGGCTAACGAAAATAATCCTCCTGTCCCCACTTTTCCGCCCAACTTTAGCGACCCACACCATGGTTCAGTTTCTTCAGCCCCAGAAGTAAGAGATCACGCCCTCCAACGTAGCTGCTCTCTCCATCCCACCAGCGGCGACCTCCTCAGCCTCACCCACATCCTCCATGTTGACAAATCCAGTCGCCACGTCTTTCTTCTCTCTGCTCATCTGACTCCACCCCTCAGCAGCATCTGCGCTTTGCCTCCTGTTCTTCCTCCCTGACCTCTGAGCCTCGACATTCTTCAGGGCTCAGGCCTTGGTCTCTTTCTCTGATCCAGTCAAACTCTGTCCTAGGTCATCCTTAACGAGGGCTTAGAAATGGGACTGCTATTCCAGGTGGCAACTATGGCAGGTGGGAGGGCTGCTGAGTGTAAAGGCAGGTGTGCAAACGCCAGGTATCAAAAGGCTTCTCTAGAAGAGTGGGCAGGTAAGTTTTGGTCTTGGCTAGAACCAGATATCCATAAAGCACCCTGGCCATAGCCATGGAAAGGGGAAATCTGGGCTGTAATCGTTCAGTTTGGGGTATGGACATCACATGGCATTACAGGGATTTGGGGCCAGGTGCCCCTCTATCCTTAAGTTCACCTTTAAACAGTCCATTCCTCCATTTTACAGATGAGAACACAGACCTGAAGGGACAGAGTAACTGCCCTATAGTCACCTAGCCAGAACCCAGGCACAAAATCGGACCCTTGACTCTCATTCTAACACTCCTGGTCCCCAGGGACTCAGTCCCAGTGTGCAGCTACTTGAACAAAGTAGCCAGCCCAGGAATTAAGATTCAGAGGCAAATTCCAGCCTGGCCCCAAACAAATTCTATGCTGCAAACTGCTTCCTTTGAGAGATCCACCATGACTCTAAACTGGATTTGGGGAGGAGAGGGCCCTTTGCTCCTGCTGCTCTCAGTAGAACTCCTGCTGGCGTCGCAGGCTGTACCAAAACACTTAAATTTATCTCAAAACAATTGTACAAGACCCTGTTGCTGGTCATTATTCAGATGGCCTAGGTTTGTATCCTGGCTCCAACTCTTGCCAACAGTTGACATTGGACCATTTTCTTCATTTCCAATGATTTAGATCCTCATCTGTAAAATGGAGATAATAATAATATCTAATTCATAAAGTTATGGTAACAGGTCATCAAAACATACATGTAAATTATTCATAGGACACTTAGTAAGCAGTGTTAACAGGAAGCTAACCCAGGTTTCAGAACTTTCTGGAAGCTGCTCACCTACTGAGTGTTAGAACCAAGCAGTGAATGAAATCGCCTCCAAACCCCATTGTACTGTACCAGTGTTTCCCTAAGTGGGTTCCATGGGATGCTAGCCTGCAGGATGCTTAGTGAGAAGCGGGTTCCATGGTTAAATACGTTTGGGAAATGCTGTGTCCTCTGCCCCTTTGGGAGAGCCCTCAAACATTAGCATTAGTCCTCGAGGAGCCAAGTAGTCCTGTAGCGAAGCAGCCTGTTAAACTTTGTGTAATCAGCATTTCCCAAACTCATTTGACCACAAAACCTTTTTTTGTTTGTTTTTTTGTTTCTTGTTTTGTACCTAACACCTATTAGCACCCAGCGGAACACACTGTGGGCAATGCCACACTAGGCCGCGCAGCGTCCCCCGGAATGGTAATAACGCTTTTGTTCTTTTAAGGGGAAAACCATGGTCTCTCTTTCCTCCGCGGAGTGACTTATAGAGTTGAATGTGGGAATGGCTTGTGTGTAGCATCTGTCCCACTGTCAGGGCAGAGAGCAGGTGCAGTCTTCCCTGTGAGCTCAGCACCTTCCATCCTCTTCCCAACTAAGAACCTTTCTCCTTCCAGACCCCAAATACCGCCTCTTAATAACAACCCTCTCCTGACCACTTCTGCTTCCTCCTCCTTGCTATTTCCGTTGATCCTCATCTTTGCTGAGCTGATAACACTCAGCTAGCTGCTCTAGTCTGACCTAGCAGAAATTGAACTCAGCCAAAACTAGAAAAAACTGGCCACATGACCTTGGGTAAGTCACCAAACCTCCAAACTAGAGTATTATTTTCATCTGCAAAATGGGAATAATAACATCCACCAATCTCACCTCGTTTTCTGTTTGATCACTTAGTGTGATAATGCTTCAGAAAAAAAAGTAAGAGGAGCATTTGCAAAGGAAGGTCCTGCTATTATTTCTAATGGCCCTAATGCTTCTGGAGTGGGCATGGCCCTGTGCTGTTTGACAGTCCCTGGCCAGCTGAGCAWCCCCTGGACTGAAATGCCTCTAAATTTTCCCTTGGGTTTATTTGAACGGAGAACCGGATGCAGTGGCTGCTCACACTCAGCCACTTGCTCACGCAGCCTCATCTCTATCCTCCTCCTGTCTCTCCCTTGGCCACAGGTGAAGTGTGTACGATACTGGCCAGATGACACAGAGGTCTATGGCGACATTAAAGTCACCCTGATTGAAACAGAGCCCCTAGCAGAGTACGTCATCCGGACCTTCACAGTCCAGAAGGTAAGCTTCCCTTGGCTGTGGGCACCCCAGCCAGCGGGATGGTCTGCGCAACCAGAGCATGTGGAGAATGAGGATCCATCCCTTGATCCTGGCCTGTTCTCTCCCTCCTGACAGGATTCTGCCTCTCATCTTGGCCCATCTTAGTTTGGATTTCCTAGAAGCAGAGCCCAAGGCAGCAGGGATTTGGGTGCCCAGGACCATGGGTGGAGGGAGAGCTTGCAGAAAGGGGTGAGGAAAGCAGGACAGGTGGCTGGTAGAAGGAACCAGTGAGGCGTGGTTTCAGCAGGAGCCCTGATGCCACCAGAGCTCTGGAGAATGATTTGCTCTGCACCAATAGCCTTGTCTACAGACGAAGGGCCTCCTTCACTTCCAGGAAGGTAACCAGTCCTTCTTACCCAGAAGAGTCCTGCACTTAGCACTGAATGTCCATGTCCTGGGAAAGCCCTCTGTCCTGGGCAAACTAGGCAGCTGACAAAGCCAGTCAATCACAACAACTTTCCTCTCCATCAGAGAGTCCCTGAACCCCCACCCCATCCCACCTCACCCCAGGAAGTGGGCTCCTCTTCAATTGAGGGCAGTTCCCTGAAGAAGGGGAGACTATGGGCTGTCTTTAAACTCAGAGTAGCTGTGGATGGTGCATCAGCCCAAAGACGGGGACCTGGGTGGGCAGCAGTGCCCTCTGCATAATGCCTAACACACCCGCGGAATCCAATGCCCTTCACGTGGTAGCTGTTTGGGGGAGGGGTAGCATCCTAAAATACAAGTCCAGGGATGTCCTTGCCCCTCTGTGAACCATCCAAGCAGCCACCTGGAGCCCCCAGTGCCTATGAGGTAAACTCAAAGGCTGTACCTGGGATTCAGGGCCCTCTTGCACGGCCTGTCCTCCCACCAGAGTGTGACCTCCTATCACCAGCACCCCTTCCATGTTCCTCTAGTGTGGCCTTGGGAACTTGTGAGACTCTGCACACAGCACGCTAAGTCCCGTTCCCATCCCCTCCTGCCTCCATCCCCTCCATGTCTCCAACAGGGTAATGCTCCTGCATCAGTATCATAGCAGTGAGGAGGGCAGACTATGGAGCCAGACAGCCAGGGTGCAGTTTGCCACTCCATGTTGTGACCTCACTAAACCTTGCTCAGCCTAAGTTTCCCTGTCCAAGGCATGGAGATAACAGTATGGGGATTGCTATAAGCACTAAATGAATTAATGCACTGAGGTATTTTGCAATGCCTAATAAATGTTAGTTATTATTATCACTTATTACTTTCACTATTAATATCTTTCAAGAGTCAGATTGAGCTTCACCTTGTCCAGGAAGCCTTCTCAATTTCTCCTCCCCCTGTATCCCATTAGCTAAACACCTTTATGCAGGCTAACTGAGTTACCTACATGGGAGTCCTTCCTCACCCTGGTGAGGTCATGAGTGGTCCCAGCACAGGAGCTGTGGCTTTTATTTCCTTCCTCCTAGAGCCAGCACAAGTCTGGGCACATCTTACCCTCAGTATTTTTGTAACTGACAGATAAACAATGAAACCTCTCTAATTAACTGCAGAAAATCACTAGGGAGAAACAGTAAGTAAGAGGCACTAGGTAAGCAAAGGCTCAGAGGTGTGACCTGCCTGTTCAATAGTCAGATCGCCAGTATTTGACCCGGGGTATGTCTATGGGGGAGGGGTTGAGAGCAGGAGATCCACTCAAGCTCAGGGCCCCACTGCCTCCATTAGTCAATAGAAGCATCTTATAATTTTAAATAAGAACTTAATTAATAAAAATGTTGGCTAGCTGGGCACAGGGGCTCATACCTTTAATCCAATGGCTCAGGAGGCTGAGGCAGGAGAATCACAGATACAAAGCCAGCCTCAGCAACTTAATGACAGCATYAGCAACTTAGGGAGACCCTGTCTCAAAAATAAAACATATAAAGGGCTGGGAAGTGGCTCAGTGGTTAAACGCCCCTGAGTTCAATCCCTGGTACCAAAACATAAAGAAAAATAAAGAAGTTGGCTAAATTTTAAATGTCAAAAGCCACATAGACTATTATAGACAAGGCTGGAAAACGGGAGGCCCCCAGATCTCAGCCACTGAGAGGGCTCGAATTCCACTGGCAACACCTGGAACTTGGTCTTTATGGCCATCTTTCTTTCAATCTGGGATATACCTCCCACGAAACCTCTGTCAAAGGGGGTCCCTGGGCAAGCACTGGGTGCTGTGTCTCTCTTGGAGACTCGGAACACAATAAAAGGCTCTGAGAAGTCCTGCAAAAAGCAACCAGTCTGCCTTTGGTTCCACATTTTCCAAATGGAATGATCACAGCGTCCCTCTCTGTGGACAGCGGGAGGCTGGGTCCTCGGGTGGCCGCTGTGGCTCTCCACCGAGCCAGTCCAGGCACAGAGCAGCAGCTGGAGGCACAGAGCCCATTCTCTCCTCAGAAAGGCTACCACGAGATCCGGGAGCTCCGCCTCTTCCACTTCACCAGCTGGCCTGACCACGGGGTGCCCTGCTACGCCACTGGCCTCCTGGGCTTCGTCCGCCAGGTGAAGTTCCTCAACCCCCCGGAAGCAGGGCCCATAGTGGTCCACTGCAGGTGAGTCCAAGCCTCCCTGCCTCCAACCAGGTGTGCCTCTGCAGCTCGGTGGGGAGTAGCCATGATTCCTTGCCTTAAAGACTCCCCTGCCTGTGTCCCCACACCCAGCCCAATGAGACTCGGGTCCTAAGGTCTAAGCAACAGCATTTGCAGTGGCAGTCACAGTTTCATTATAGTCACCAGGGACATGGGGGGCACTGGCAGCATGTGCACCTACCCACGTCATTTCACGTACTTCTCATCCAGCTTTGGGGTGTGGGGGGTCCCTATCATCATCCCATTTTACAGATGAGGAAACTGAGGCGCTGAGAGCTGATGTTTAACATGTTCGCAGCTTCTTGATATGGCCATGGGGGTGCCTTAGTGAAGCATGCTTCTCTTCATTGCTGTTATTTTAAAAATTAATTTCTGGCCTGTAGGATCCTTAATGGAGAGTAAAGGGACAGCATCTAGTTCCATCTTCTTATGAAAAAGAGCTATTTTCAGCTTTGACCTAGAGAGTCACATTGAGGATGAGTGGCGCGTTTTTCAGTCCTCCTAAGTGGAGATGAAGCACTGTGTCAAGGACACTGAGAATTAGAGGAAGGCAGATGTCCAGACCTAAAGGCCGCTAGCAGTCCTCTCTGTCCTGGAGTGACCTTGGGTCCCGCCCATTTCTACAGACCCTGCACGCTCCAGTTATCTCATCCCTGCCCTGGCAATGTCCATATCAGTCCAGGGACCAGGAAGGATTTTACAAACCATGGACACTCAGATCCACCTGCTTCCCCTACGTAGCATCCTTTTAAAATTTTCTCTCTCTAAACATAATAGGAAGCACATGATCCCATTTCAGAGATGAGGGGGTTGAGGGTGTGGCAGAAACCCTCTGGGCCCTCTGAGCATTTTGGACATGTTCTCTGCTTTATACCTCATAGCAGCCCAAGGGCAGTGAAACTTTAGCCCCCACCYCAAGATCCCCAAAAGCAACCAGAGCAGGGATAAAGGAAAAAATGAGACAACAGCAAATATTTATCAGCAACACCTCCCCACTATTAACCAGTGCTGTGCGTGATGGCCCTGTGCCTGTATCTCCATAGCAAGGCACTTTCATGCATCCGAGATAGTGGTGCACACTCCTGGGGCTATTATAAAGATGAAATGGGTTGGCTAATGTGTGCTGAGTGCCTGACAAAATTCCTGACATATAGTAAGCACTTTAAAAATATCATTGTTCTCCATCTCTTAATGTTGTCCCCCTCCCCAGGCTTTTAATCCTTTAGGCAAGAACCAAGTCTTACTCATCTTCATGTCCCCACTCCTAATCCCAGCATCTGAAGCATCATAGATAGTGGAAAAATATCCATCAAATTATAAGTCGCAACAATTTATTGAGAAATTACTCTGTGGCCAGGCACAGGCTAAGCAATTTGCATGCATTATGCTTTTTAAACATAGTTTCGTGCAATTTACATACATGGTACTCTTAATGCTGTGAGGTGGGTCTATTTGTTATCAGCCTCACTTTATGAATGAGAGTCATGAAACCCAGAGAGATGAAGTCATTTACCCAAGGTCACACAGCTAGTTAAGTAGTAGAGCCAGAATTTGATCCCAAGGGTCTCTTCCAAATACTAAATCACTAAAATGTGTAATAAATACAGCACAATCCTTACAAAGACTCTGCCAGGAGGCGAGTTAGATGTCATATGCCAGGCTGTTGAGGCCACTTTGGGGGAGTTCTGGGTCAAGATGGTAGTAGATGTTCTCAGGCAAGAACAAGTCAGACTGTACTCAGTTCAAGCCATTGAAGTTTCACCAGGAATGAAGACCGCCCGAGAGCCTTGAGGGCCACAGTCCCATCCTGCCGGCCAGTGATGCTTCTCTGTCTTCTCTTCTCTCCCTTCCTCTCTGCGTGTCCTCTTACTTCCACATTAGTGGACAAAGCCATCTGTGTCCATGGCGGAAGCAAAACAGGAGACTCAAGCCAGAGTGGGCCTCCGGGACAGCCTGCCTGGCCTTCCCTTCCCAGATTGGACGCATTGAAGGCAAATGCTCAGCCCCAGTGTTTTAGGACCCACCACTAATCAGGGCAGGGCTGGCCGCGTTCCAGGAGCCTCGCTGAGGTCTGAGATTCTCCTGAGGAAGCCATCCGAGATCCGGAATTGAATGTGTGCTGGGAAACTCAACACCTGGCAAGGGTCGGTCTCAGGGCTGTCAGCTGCTCCAGTTTCAAGAGGTTTCTAGCTCCTGGTCCTGGGGAAGCAGGTCCAGGGGGAGCCAAATACAGGGCCTTGGATCCCTTTCTGCCTTTGGGGAAGCTCAGAGGTCCCGGGCTTCCACTCTCTCCCTCACCTCTCCTCTGCTCCTCCTCTCCTGCTCTTCATTACTTCCATTTATCAACCCATTTGCTGAAAAGAAAAAAACATAGAAGGAGAAAAGAAGGGAGGGAAAGAGGAAGGACGTGTTTATTAGGCGTCCGCAGTGTGGAGGGTCCCACACTAAGTGCTTTACACTACACAGTGGGTCATCATACCTGTCCGATGAGGAAACCACACATATACGTGCTGCGTTAAGACCCATTATACACTGTAAATCTGATSGAGGAAGGAAGCGTAAGAGCACATGCTCTGCAGCCAGACCGCCTGGGTAAAGTCCCAGCTCTTCCACCTGGCAGCTGTGTGACTTCAGACCTCTGTGCCTCAGACTTCTCACTTGGGAAATGGGGAGAGAAACTTGCTAACGACCTCACAGGGTAACATTGTAAAGCTCCTGGGACAATGTGCGGCACTTGGCAAGTGCTGAATAAGTGTTTGCTAAATGGATACAACACAATAAGTCACCCTGATCAAATGCCCCCAAAGACAAGCATGACTCTGGCATCTTACAAAGGACAGAGGTGAGGTTCTAAGATTGGTTGCCTGCTCGGCATCTCTCAGGAAGGCCTGGGGTTCCCACCCTTCCGCTATCTGCCACATCCTGCCTCTCAGCAGGGCCCTGGATGGGGGCTGAATGGTAGAGGATGCTCAGAGCTGGAATCACCCCAAGATCCCTCCCCATACCCCATCATCTCTCTTCCAGTGCTGGAGCTGGGAGGACCGGCTGCTTCATTGCTATTGACACCATGCTCGACATGGCTGAGAACGAAGGGGTGGTGGACATCTTCAACTGCGTGCGTGAGCTCCGGGCACAGAGGGTCAACCTGGTGCAAACAGAGGTGAGTCCTGGAGGACTGAGCACCAGGGACCAGCATCACCGGCCACACGGGAGCATGGTGGACAGAGTYCCAGGGCTGGGGTCAATAGAAAGGAGCCTGAGTGTGGGACAAGAGAGGGAGCCACCACATAGTTTGCTATGGGGAGACCACTGTAGAAGCTAGGACTGATGTCGCCCCCCCCCCAAGTCAGTCCTGGGGCTCCGTGGTACAGGGACTTCCCCCAATAATGAATGGTGATGAGGCTCCCATCTCTGAGGGTATCTGAGATGGGACTGAATGGCAGCTGTCAGGGATTCTTTGCCTTCAGAAAAGGGGTAGAGAGGGAAAGGATTGGCATTTATGGATGCCTATTATGTGCCCAGCATCCACTCAGTCTCTATAGGAAGTGGTTTAATCATCCAAGTCCTTGAGTAATTGAACTAGCAGCTGGGGATTCAAAGAGAGATGATACACAGCCCCAGCCTTCAAGGTGGCTTTTGGGTACTGTCCAGATAGAGAGCCTAAGGAGCAAAATGGAAGGAGTTTGTCTTTTTTTGCTGTGAGGCAGGCAGCATGTGTGTTTTATGTTCAGGGTATAATATMATATCCTAGCAAGTAGCCCCTACCAGCATCTCCATTTTTATCCCCGAGGAAGAAACTGACAGCTGTGTCCCCAAGGTCTCACCCAGCCATACTGTGGAAGATCACGGGTCCCTGTGACCCTCAATAACCACCTTCTCTCTAAGCAAACTTTCTGCCCATCCTCTCCTCCATGCCTTGATTTGTTGTTCCRGCAATGAGTCCATCTTCTGGTTCTAGTGAAGGCTGTGGGTGCCCAGGCAGAGCTGGGATTTGTGAGGAACTGTACACATCATCCACCCTGGAAAAGGAAGTTGCTTGTGGCTTTGGGCCACAGCAGATCCTCCTGGATCTGCAGTGAAGACCCCCATTGTTGGGTGTATATATACTGGACCCTGCTGCAGGCTCTGAGCAGACTCAGCCCTATCTTCAGGCTTCTAGCACTAGAGCCAAAAGGACTGCATGCAGCAGGCAGGCTTGCTGGTTGGAGTCAGGCACATTGTACTTACTCTCCATGGGGAGACATGTTCAAATGATGCATCCAGATAACCACACTATGTAGAGGATAAACCAATTTTTGCAAGAAAAAAGTCACTCAACAAACATTTAGCAAGGGCCCAGAAGTAACAACTTTGGCTTGGTGGACTTAGAAAAGACTTACCAGAAGGAATGAAACATTGAACATCTTGAAAAGGGGAGTGGAATTTCAGGAGAAAAGAATAACAGATACAAAGAATTGGGATAGGAGAAAGTAYGGCACATGTTTTCAGAGAAAATCCTGAGAAAAGAGTTCAGGGCAAGCTGAGTTTCTTTGGGAATTGATCCAAAGACACTCTGGTGGGTGAGTGGGGAAGTGAGATGGAGAAGGGAAGGAAATGAATGCAAGGTGCTTTATCAGTTTAACACTATGGACACCAGGGGAATTTTGAGATGTGGAATGTGCATCTTTAAGTTATTCACCAAAGGGGAGAAGGAACTTAGATTTTCGCCCCCAACTCCCCATCTATTATTGCTTGAGGGCTGCTTCCTGGAGCATTAACTCTTTGGCTCTTTGGCTTACCTGCACACAGCCCAAGTGTGCTCCTGGGACTAGCAAGAAAGCCCTCAGCAGAGAATCACAGGTTTTGTGCAACAAGAAGTCTTCAGAAGGCAGGTGAAAGTCAAACCTGAGAGGATGTGGGCAAGGCACCACAAGCACTGGCTGTCTAAAAGTGGCTCACTTTTATCAGTGACTCTGCTGTCCAACCTCATACAAGGAAAAAAACTCCATGAAATCTCTATAAAATATGGAAACCTGGCCCTTTGGGTTACAAGATAAGGTGGCAGTATAAATCCTGTGCATTCTTCAGAGCTGTAAGATTAAATGTGGACAGGTCTCCCAGGAGACTGTCCCTACCTGCCTACTCCCTCTCTCCCGACTATGCAGGAGCAGTATGTGTTTGTGCACGATGCCATCTTGGAAGCGTGCCTGTGTGGCAACACGGCCATCCCGGTGTGTGAATTCCGCTCTCTGTACTACAACATCAGCAGGCTGGACCCCCAGACGAACTCCAGCCAGATCAAAGACGAGTTTCAGGTATGGACAAATCCTAGGTTCCGTGACTGTCTTAGTCCAGGCCGTTATAAAAAACTCCCATAGACTGGGTGTCTACACAACAGACATTTATTTATCACCTTTCTAGAGGCTGCAGTTCAACTGATGGAAAATCCAGGGTCCTAAGAGGGCTCAGGCACTGTTCTGGTGTGTGGATGGCTGTCTTCTTGTTGTCGCTTCATGTGGCAAAAGCATGTTTCTCCCTTTAAGGGCACTAACTCCATTCATGAGGGCTTCACCCTCATGACCTCATCACTTCCCACAGACCCCACCTCCTAATACCATCACCCTGGGACTTAGGATAAGAATGTGTGAATTTGGGGAGTTGCAAGCATTCAGTCCATAGTTGTGTTCCAACCAAGTTCAAGGTGCTGTGCACATTTGTGGAGCTTTCTTAGTGAGAAGTGAGATGCCCATGTGTTTTCAGTCTGTAGCACCAGGCAGCTACAGAATGTCTTGCAAACAACAAATGCACAGCCATGAGCAAGTAGTAGCTCAGTGATTGGCCAAGGCCTCTTTTTAACTTTAGGTCTTATTTAGTTCCTGTCCAGACAAGTTTATAAACACAAGTGTGAAGTTCATGCCTCTTTGTCCCTGGAGGGACTCAAGTTTTCTTTGTATTTTTTGGTACATTCTTACTCCTCACAGTGTGGTCTAGAGAGTAGCTGTAGCAGCTTCATTGAGGAGCTTGTTAGAAATGTGGAATCCTGGGTACCACCCAGACCTACTGAATAAGAACCTGCAATCTAACAGAATCACTGGTTGATTTTTTTTTTTTTTTGTCTGAACATGAAACTTTGAGCAGCATCACTCTATAGCATAACTCAGGCATAGAAATTCCACGCAGGCAGGTCATATGGTCCAATTTGTGGCAAGCTCTGTCTGAGGACCCTGGATTTGAATCAATAGTTAGAAAGTTAGAGTCTAACYCTTCCTCCTAAGGCAGTGCCAGAGTCATAACCTGGGCAATAGAAACAGAACCAGGCAGGAGACTCGTGTATGCTTCAGCCATGGGCAATGGCTAGGTTTATGGTCCTATGGCAGATACTGCAGCCAAGCCAATACTTTAGTGCTCCTTCAAACAAATGATCTTTAATGATTTGGAGCAGAACCAGAGTGCAGAATGAGGGGAGGATGGGACACAGACACATGGTCATTSCGCACAGCATCTATCTGTTGGCTAGGGCATCTCTGGTCCTAAATTGTAACTTTGCAGAGCATAATAACTGCAGATTTTCAGACCTATTGGAGCTTGCCCCTTGGAGATCTCACATCCACCTTGAGCAGCTCATCCAAGCATCCTTCCGTCCTCAGGCAGTCTCCCCCGGCCCTTAGAAGAATGCTCGTAAATCATTCCCTTCATTCCATGACACTTCAAGTGATGTTTTGCACTCAAAGGGATTCCCTGCCCCCAGCCCCACCATATGCCCTCTGCATCCCATCCTTTACCGTAGCCCTGGATGGCTTCAACAACTTAGTTCCTATTGGTTGGCAGATGTTGGCAGCCCAAGTCTGAGCTTGTGTGTGGGCACACTACCCCTGCAGCCTTGGCAACTGGAAGGTGTCACACAGCCCCTGGCACGGGATCTCAGCTCACAAGTGCTATAAGATATGAAGGAACATCACCGTTGTGGAATGGGATTCTGGATTCTGGGAAGGGGACAGCAGGGCCAAGCTTAGAGGGTGGAGATAAGTGAGTTAAGCTAAACTGGTACCCTCCTGTCTCCTCTGCTCAGGGGCAACCACCTGAGTAGTACCTGTCGACCCACCTTTCTGCCCCACAGACACTCAACATAGTAACACCTCGCGTCCGGCCGGAAGATTGCAGCATTGGGCTCCTGCCCCGGAACCATGATAAGAATCGCAGCATGGATGTCCTGCCTCTGGACCGCTGCCTGCCCTTCCTCATCTCAGTGGATGGAGAGTCCAGCAACTACATCAATGCGGCACTGATGGATGTAAGCTGAGCCCTGGAAGAGAGCTCCTGGCTGGCATTCCAGGGAAAAGTCTCTTCCCTAGGTGGAGGTATCTGGGCCCAGGACCCTGACTCTACCAGCAGGCGGCCTCTTCTTGCTTCTGATCCGCTGACCTTAAGGACTTTTGCTCCCCTTGAAGGCTCTGGTCCAAACCCAGACTCAAGCTGTGCTCTTGGTTCCTTGGCTCAAAGAACCTGGAAAGAATAGCTCCAAAGTTTAAAGTAACTCCCATGATACCACAAAGCTCCAGTCCTACCCTGCACCCACCCACTCCCATCTCCCACAGAGCTGACTCAGCCTGAGCAATAGAAACATTGTCTAAGCCAAGCCTTGGCCTGAATCCTGGGAGCACAAGATGGTATAAGCATGGGTTCCACCTGCAGATACTTCCCATTCAGCCTCTCAGACATCTCCTGTGCAGAGGCAAAAAGGAGGGCACTTAGTGGGTGCTCAGTAAATTAATATTGAGCAAGTGATGGGAGGAAATAAGTGAGGAGGGAAACAAGCCATGTTCCTGCATATCCTGTTAGGGGCTCCATCTTGTGCTCTCTGGATGTCAGGTCCAGGGAGGACCGTCTACCCGGATGTGGCTTGGGATTAGAGTCATATCCTTTCCCCAGTGGGCCCGTGCTTCTGCCTTACATGCTTGATCCTTGAGGCTTCTAGCTACTTCTGGGTATCATCACTTCACCTCCAAGATGCACAGGTGTTTGCAGAAGTGTGGAACCATGGACCTAGCCCCATCCTTGCACTTCTCAGCAAAGGAAACTGAGGCCAGATGGGGGAAGGGACTTGTGCTAGGTCGCCCTGAAAATTAGTGGCAAAGCCAAGCCCAGGGCTCCTGATTCCCACTCTAGAGTTCATTTCTTGAACCTCCCCCACAGTTTCCTTGATTCGTTAAGATGCAGGCTTCTTGCCTCTTGAGGTTCAGAATCAAGAATGCCATTGCCTAATTGGACATGAACTCTTCCAGGTCCTCTTCCACTGCATGTCTGAGATCTTGGCCTCTACTTAGCCCATGCGACCCTCCCACCTCCCTCAAAACAGACAGGGACATGGAGCACTCTCTCCTAGGGCCAAGGCCAACTACTTCTCTGACTTCTGATCTTCCTAAAATTTCCCTCCAAGGGCCTGATGGGTTGGAGGCAGGCGGCAATGAAAGGTCTCAGCTCTCAAAAGGGCTGCCCTGGCCTCTGTCCATAGTTGCCCACATCCTCCATGAAAATCATGGTTCCGGGTCCAGAAGAAGGGAGTCTGGTCTTGGTCATACCAAATAGCTGGAAGTAAAGAAAAGACCCCTGGCTTTAGCTTAGTTCCATATATGCATGCGTGCGCGCATGTGTGTGTGTGTGTGTGTGTGTGTGTGTGCGCGCGCGTGTGTGTGTGTGTGTGTGTGTGTGTGTGTGTGGTGGGAGATGGGGTCCAGGTGTGCACCCACACTTCCAACTTCCTCCTAGCTTTGTTCCTGCTTTCCCAACACCCCTTTCCTGCCTTCTTCATCCAAGCAAGGATCAAACAAACTCTTGGCCTCTACTTAGTAGGTTAGATGCTGCCGGGAGTCAAATGCCTTAAACCAAGCTCTGATTCTGATTGTATTCTCTTTGTCCACAGGGCATGTCTCCGGTGAGCCAGCACTGAGGCCTTTGCCTTTCTTATATTAAAAAAAAAAAAGTCCTTATCTGTATTCCAGCTCAGTCCGTGCATTATCTGGTAACCATAGCAGCTTTGCCTCTAGCAGAAAAATATGAAGTCCTCTGGGTTAATTTTTAATGTTTCCCCTGGTAAAGGATGATGTTATCCATGAAATGGATTGCTGGCTGATCCCTGAAACTCGGCAGGAGCACGGATCTCAAACATATTTTCAGATAAGGCTTTGTCAGGCGTGCTGGCCTAATAGAGCATTTATCACAGAGACAGTGGAAAAGAAAAGAAAACTAACATTCCCTGAGCGTTGGGCACCATGTCGGACCCTGGACTTGCACTGTCTCATTCTGAACTTGGGTATTATTATCCCCCATTTTTTGGACAGCTACTGAGGATAAGAGTATTTTCATTACTTAAGTTCAACTAGCTCAGAAAGGGTAGAGTCAAGGATCTGAACCCCAACTCTGCTGTCTCTGAAGCCTAGATTTTTTTTACAGATCTTGAAATGGCTTAAAGACCATGCTATCTGTGACTGAGGAATTTGGCTTTTGGGCAGCTCCATGGTCTGCCCTCCCAGGATCCTCCTCTGACCATTCCACTGGCCTTGGAAGTAGTTCTCCTTCTGCCTCTGTGATGTCCATGTTTGCAAGACATTTTCCTGCTATTGCCAGGACCTTTGCCCCTGATCCCTCTCCTTTTCCTCCTGACCTATAACTACACTAAAAACAGATGCAAACGTCCACAGGAACCATCTCCCAAGAAAACTTGTTGAGAATAGGGGTTATTGCTCAGGTCTTACCAACTATTGATGAAGTGGAGATGCTTCCTAATCTCAAACACCTCCTTACAAGGTTGGCATGCCAAAAAAAAGCCCAGGTGAAGCTCCCAAAATCACACAGGCTTTTTTCTTGGGGTCTCTGTTCCCCCATCTATAACACAGGGTTTGAATTAATGTGACTATTGCCTGGAGCTACACTTTACCTAGTGTGTACCAGACCCAAGGCTGGTGCCCAGGATGAACACCTAAGTCAGGAGCCTTTCTGCTCTTGTCCCTGGGCTTCCAGTCAAGCTCTTGCTTGCTGGCCTTTCACATGCAAATCTTATCCAATTGTCTGACAACCAAACCTTTGCCTTTATGATTGCCATTTTCCAGATAAAGAATCTGAGTTTTGAGATCATCTGATTTCTTCTCCGTGTTTATCACTCCCTCCTTTCCCCAAAAGATACTCTACAAATGATGTTTGAATAAATGAGTGAACAGATGAATGGATGGATAGATAACTCGTAAGTTAGAAGTGGAAAAGCTGGGTTTGAACCCCAAGTCTGCCGGACTTTAATACCTGGGTAACCTCCACTGTTCCACTGGCTAAAGGACACAATGCCCACCTTCTGCCAGCTAGCTCAGTCCTCAATCCAACAACAGTAAGCTGTGTAATAGAAGCTCTTTTGGAGGCCCGCCCAACCCCTCCTCAACATCATGCGCCCAAGGACTCAGCAGATCTCTTATATCCCAAGAGGTGTCTTGGCCAGCAGAGCAGCTAATCTGCATCCGGAATCTTTCATTTCATATTGTAATGATGATTATTTGCTAAGCTCCAAGACATAAATAATTTATTTGGATAATCCCCATCCGAGTGACACTTTCCTAATGAAATGTCTTAGTTTGGAGGAGAATGTGTTCATTACGAGAAGGTCCCCTTTGCCGCCAGGGCATTCAGAGAGAACAGAACCGGCAGGTGCTTTGTGAAATCCATTTGGCAGGCTCGGGGCTGCTGGCAGCCATCCGGGCCTCATCATCATCAGAATATCACTGACAGATATATATATATATATATATATATATATATATATTTTTTTTTTTTTTTTTTTTTTTTTTTAACGAAGCCTGTGTCATTTCTTTGTCAGAGCCACAAGCAGCCCGCCGCCTTCGTGGTCACCCAACACCCTCTACCCAACACTGTGGCGGACTTCTGGAGGCTGGTGTTCGATTATAACTGCTCCTCTGTAGTGATGCTGAATGAGATGGACACTGCCCAGGTAAGAAATAGCCCAGCAGCCACCCTAGAGGGGCCTAGGTGGATGGGGGGAGCCATACTGTAGACTCTGAGGCAGACCCTGGGAGTACCAGGAAGCCCATTCCTCTGTCCACAGAGGCAAGGAGGCCTCTACCCCTGGACCCTCAGTAATGACTCCCCCATCTATGGGCTTTGTCCATCTCCCCACCCCCCAGGGCCACACTCTACTGTTCTGTGCTGCAGGCACTAGTTAGAGTCTTGCTCTAAGTCACACAGAGCTGTCAGAGCTGCAAGGCCACCTCCCCAGCACTGAGCACCTGCAACCCTGAAGGATATCTGGTGCCTGGCCACACCCCCCTGCCTGGTCTCTCTGCCGTGCAGTTCACATGGGTAGAACTGGGGCTTGAGCCTTGGAGGCTTGGCAGCAGACGACCACAGAGCCCTGACTTCATGCTAGCTCTAAGCATCACATGCACACGACACATCCCCATGCTCGGGACACAGGACATGTCTTGGGACAGTTTCTGAAGCCCTTGCCTCTCTGGCAGGGAAGCCTTTCTGGAGACAAGAAGATGAGGATGACCTTTCAGGTTTTTGAAAACTGTCCTTTTACTGCCTTGAAGAAAATTCAAAATAACTCAATGAACTCTCCTATGAGTGCTGGCCTTGCCCAGGCCCTTGGGCAGGAATAAAATGTGTTTTCCAATGGGTCTGAGCGGTAGTCTCAGCCCTCCAGGAGTTCATAGTCTTCCTACAGAGACAGACGAGCAAATTGTCCCCAGCTCATGTGACCATGCTGTAATAGAGGTCACTGGTGAAGTGTTGTGTTGGCAGGAGCAGGGAGCAATTAATTCTGCCCAGAGGGTGAGTGAAGACTTCAAAAAGGTGACTTTGACCTTGAAGAAGGCAGAGGAGATTTGGGTTTATGTGAGATGAACTATCGGGGAAAGGCATTCCAGGCAGAGGGAAAGGCAGGGCAAAGGAGAGAGGGAGAGATGGACGTAGGCTTGTGGGAAGAACAGCTTCTGCTCTGGTGCAGCTGGGGCTTGAGCTCTGTCCAGAGGAGAAGAGCATGGTGAGGCTGGAGAGGGTGTTAGGGGCCACCTTGCAGGAATCCTGAGCCAGGCGCAGGAGCCTGGGCCATGGACTGCAGCATTATAAGTGTCAGACTTTTACTTTGTAAGCCACAGAACTCTTTCTCCAAATGAAAGCTCTCATGCAAGCCCAGTGTGTGAAGAGCTCTGATCAAGAGCTAGTCATATTGAAGCAGGAGGCAAGGGTCTGGGGCTCCCCCTAGAGTGGTCTCTCATCTTTTCCTGGTGGCCCTTGGAGAGTTGATCACTCTGGTACCTTCGTGGAATCCTTGGGTTCCTAGGAGCACAGTTAGAAAATTCTTCCTGTCCAGTGTGGAGAGACTCTGGAGGGGTTAACCTTGGTGGGGAGCAGAGCCAGAGTCAAGTCTGCCACCAGGGAGGAGGACAACTGCAGCACAGACCTGGGAACCAAAGACTCGGGGAGAAAATCTGTCAAGTGTGCAGAAAATAAAGCGAAAATCTGAACTAGAAGTGGCCGGGAGGCAGGAGAATTGGGACTAGATATGAGAATGTTCCCAGAGTTGAGTCCACAAGGTGTAGGGAGCAGACGCCAGTGGGAGGTGAGTGCAAAGGAAAAGTCACCGATGAGGACAGGTTTCTCATCTGGGCCAGCAGGTGGCCAGGGTGCACCTCGCCAAAATGCGAAGGCAGGAAGGAGGCAGAGGCAGGGAGAGAGTGGAGTAGGACAGGCTGAAAGTGAGTGCAACTTGGAATGTGTCTGTGAGAGATGTTCAGGAGAGAATTCCTCATCCACGTGACCCACATTTGTTGAGCATCCGCTGCTCCTCTCTGGAAGCTATTCTAGGTGCTTAGAATGCAACAGTGAGCAACACAGATGAGGGAAACGAGAAAATTCCCATCTCTCATGCACTTTCTGTTCTAAAGGGGGGACACAGACCATAACCAACAATGCTCTATAATGCACTTAGTTATGTATGTTGGGAGGGAACAAAGGTGTGGTGAGGTCAGAATTCTGACAGGGCCGGGTGTAGACATATACCTTGGAGGTCATAGGAAGAACTTGGGGGTTCACTTTGCAAGAAATGGGGAGCCACTGACAGACTTTAAGCACAGAAATGGCTTAATTTGGCTTTGTTGTTGAAAGTGTCCCTCTGACTGCTGTATTGAGAATAGATTCTTGGTGGGGGAGGGGATGGGCGGTTGCTAAGAGTGGAAGCAGAGGGCACAGAGAAGAGGCTACTGTAATGACAGGTGGCAGGTGACGATGGCTTGGATCAAGGTGGGTTCTGGATATATGCTGAAGGTAAATTCAACAAACTATCCTGTTGGGTTGAATACGGAATGGGAAAGAAAAAAGACGAATCAAGGATAATTCCCAGGGCTGAGGGCCCAAACAATGGAAGGTTGGAAACTGAGACAGCTCTGAAAATAAATTAATTCCCTGCAGAGATCCAGAATTGGAAACCATCACCACCTATTCCTTTGCCTGCAAAAGTAGAACACAGATCTCACCTCCGTGAGGCAGAAGTAAAACAGGGCCTTCAAAATCCCATTTGCTCTTTTCTTTTTTTTCAACATCCTTTTTTAAGAAAACTGGAGCTCAGACGCAGAGGAGGGGTTTAAAAGAATCTGACTTTGGGACAGACAGGGTCAGAGTCAATGGCAATCACACCCCCTTTTCAGGGTAGGTCCTGGGTGAATGAAGGCTCTTTCAGGCCCAGATGTTGGTACAGCCTTTGAGAATCGAGTCTCTAAAGGCAAAAACATCAGGCTCAGAAGCTCCCCGAGGTTGGCTGCCGTATGCAGCTGGCAAGCGTGCTCTGAAATCGGCAGATGAATAGAGTCCTTATTGATATAAATATCATCACCGCAGCAGCTGGGCGCCTTGCAAAAATAAACAATGACACAGCGTGAGCATCAGAAAAGCCGCCCTCGGCACCTGGAGGGGCGGTTCTTTGAAGTGGCATCAGTATTTGTCTGCCAGCAAGCTCCTGCCAAGGCAGCCCATGGTTTGGGCCAGACCAGCACCATGGACAGATCTCCTTGGGTCCTGAGCTTTGCTAGATTGCTCCTGAGAGGACTGATGCCTATCCCAGGAGCCCCTGAGAACTCCTGCTGGGGGTTGGGAAAGCCACCTATAGGTTGCAGCAAAATAGAGCCAAGGAGAGGATGCAGGCTGCAAGCATGCTTTATTTTCTTGCACTGTTGTCCAAATCCATCTGCCTCTGCTCAGAATCTTATACCACGTCATTCAATCAGCCATCCCCAGCCACAAATTTCCTCTTTTCCACAGTGGCTGCTTTTCAAAGATAATTATGATCAATGAGGGCTCCTGATATAGACTCTCAATTCTCTGTCTTTGACCCTAAAGATTTTTCTAACTCTTTAGGGCTCCAAAAGCCTGTGATTGGATTAATGGGGAAAAGCCCTAGAACTACAACATCCAGTAAAAGACACTGTGATTCCCCATATCTATCAGGAAGAAACTTTTCAACCGTATCCAATGGCATTGACAAGGTCTCTTCCATCTTTGTGGGCTCTTTGGATAGATTAGTATCCATGGAGAACATAAACCAGAAAAAAATAAATAAATACACAAACCCCTCTGCAGTCAGCCACACCTACCATAGTGTTCAGAAAGCTCAGGAGATTATCCATGCCAGTCATACGGTGGGAGGTAGAATCATGGCTTCCCAAAGATGTCCACATCCTAATCCTAGAGTCCTAAGAATATGTGGGAAAAGAGATGTGATGAGCTGAAATTAAGGCTCTTGAGATATGGAGATTATCCTGAGTTTCCATCAGGGTCAATGTGAGAGTCCTTAGAAGAGAGAGGCAAGTGGACCAAGTCAGTGGATAGGGATGTGACAAGACAGCAGGAACTGAAGAGAGAGCCACCTCCAAGGCATGCGAGGCAACGGATGGGTTCTCTCCTGGAGACTCCAGGAAGGAATGCAGCCCTCCTCACATCTTGACCATAAACCCTGAGGACTGCTTTCAGAAGTCTGACCTCCAACATTGCAAGACAATAAATCTGTATTGTTTTCGGCCCCCATGTTTGCGGGGATCGATTATAGAAACCGTAGGAAAACTGAAACCATCAATTCAGACCAGTAGAAGGGATCGGAACAAAGCAGAAATGAGAATGAAATTATGGAAAAGCCAGAGTTAGCCTCAGTGTTGGAAGGGGAAGTGGTTTGGGCTGGAGGAAGTCTGTGACTCCATCAACATCTGAAGCCGGAGCCATCAGGAGCCATGAGGGAATGGGATGCAGCGAGCCAAGCAGGAGGCCAAGGTCCACCAGGGTAAGCGGCATTGCCAACCAGAGGGAGGGCTTTCAAAAGTCAGGAACTATGCTTTCTGGGCCTCATTAATTATTCATTGATCAGCATATATTTATTGGGAACCTACCCTGTGCCAGGCAAACCATGGATGTGACAAAAGGACAAAAGAGGCACGACAAAACTCCCTGTCCCTATGGAGTAGCATTCTGGTGAAGTGATGTCCTTTTCCAGACTCTCTTTAGCATCGGACAGGATGAAATTATCCTCATAGAGAATCATCTCAGCAAGACCCTCAAGTGGCAAGAAGATGCTGACCATGAAGAGAAGGGTCATAGGACACTATGTCCAGGGTACACATCACATGGCTCTCAAGCCTTGGAGATAGCTATGGAGGATTCCAGCAGGAAACGACCACCCTGTCATATTGGAGTCGAGTCTGGGTTCAACACGACCCAGCTTTGCTTGGGTCGCCTCCATGTAATCATAAGAGCTAGCACTTCACCTTTCCTTGAATATTTGGTTGATTTATTACATTGATTATACTTGGAGTCTCCCTGGGAGTTTCTCATTATTTTGCTTGTCACTAATTCTAAGGAGCACCTTTTATCCTATTTAAATCTTAGAGCTTCCATGATCCAAATTTCCTCCAAATGCCTTTCAGTATTTCCCACATCCTCCGTCCA